AAAAAAAAAAGTTTGCTATAATAATGTTATCAGGCGAAATATATATATATATATATATATATATATATATATATATATATATATATATATATATATATATATATATATATATAATAGCAATTACAGTTAATAACCTCTTCGAAATTAAAAAAAAAATCATAAGTGATAACTTTTTGAAGTCACGTAAAAAATTTTATCCAGTCACTGTATACGTGACAGAATTAATGAAAATAATCAAAACCAGGCGAGTACAAAATAATTAACGGCGCCACTACGAAGATAGTGATAATGCGAAAAAATCACGGATTGCTCCACGATAAACTTTGACTGCCATTAACTCGTCGAGATTTTGTTGGGCCTAATTTTTTACATTTTATATTGCAATTAACAATCTTGTTTAGCTAGTTTATTTGCCGAGTAATTGCTGATAAATTAGCTAGGTAAGACACTTAGAATAGTTTGGGTTATTTAGGCGTCAGAGTTACTTTGGTTGTATTTTACTTAGTTACTTATAACTGTAAGCATCACGTCTACTTTGTAAATTTACTCATAAGTATGTAAGTATAATTTATACTCAAAGGAATACAAAATAAAGAGCTAACAGCTAAAAGCAAAATAGAATTGAGACTGCATGAACCAAATAATGGTATGAATGCAACTTACACTTAAACAAAAAAAACATCACTTGTAACTGTCACATAAACTAAAAAAAAATTAAAGTAATAGCGTATAACATTATACAGAGTAAATTTCTTGAATAAGTAATAAAAGTTAATATTTTTACATTATCACAATTCATAATGAAAGAAATGACTATTAAAGAAAAATTACAACAAATAGAATATTTATTTAAATAAATTGTTGTTGTTTTTATCGTTAACTAACATTTTTTTATATTGAATATTTAAAATTTCAATATAATGCTGTTTCATCTTTGTTAATGTTGTATAAAATTATGGATTGCAAACTTATAATGCTATTATTGTATTCTATTAGTAAAATTTTTGTTTGTAATCTGTTGATGTATATTCTTTATTGCACTTTTAAGTTACATATAAAATAATCTATTTATAAATGTTGTGAGCAACGGTGGACTTATCTCTGACAGAGATCTCTTGCAGTCAACACAGTACAGTAAGGAAGCATTTCGTTAGCGGGCAGCTGAAGTGCTACAACTATTAATACATAAACAAATATACAGTTAAATAAAATATTATAATATATAATAAAATATTACATAAATACATACACTATAAATACATATAATACCTACCTACTCATATAATAAATGTTAAAATAAATGAATATACTACTTACATTAGAAATTTCGTTTAATGATATTAAGATTTTATAGTTCAATTGTACTCGTATGAATTGTATGTACCAATAAATAAATAAATAAATAAAAATGAAACAAAGTATGTACCGAAAGTATTATCTTTTAATAATGAGCAGAGGCAAATTAATATTTATCAAATAGATAATGAGTTAGTACCTAATCTTTTACAAGAAAATTAATATCTAAAACAATTTTAAATATTGCACAATTCTTTGCATTTGTTTTTAAATTTTATGAAATATCTAAAGACAAAAAAAAGTTGTTAAACAATACAATTTATCGCTTGTCCAATAGAACACGTCTTTAGAATTTTAAATTGGAGTTTATTTAAATTCTTATGCCTATTTTATGTTTTTGGATATAAATTAAGTATGCTGATTGCCTGTGTCAAAGACTACCTCAGGTTGGGTAGGTACTACCTTTTATGTGATAGTAAAATATATTAAAGTTTAAGTGTAAATACGTTTTTATGTATAGTTGTTATAGTAATCTCTACTAGGCATTTACAAATTCTACTAAAGAATAATGATAGAAATTTCAATAACATTAAATGTATGATTGAGTGAGAAATCAATGTCCATAGAAACATCTCGCAAGAATGGGATTAGCAATCCCTTTTTTTATGTAAAACTTTGTTTTGTGCTTTAGATATGTAAATATAACATACCACCATCTTAGTTATTTACATGAATATGTATGGAATAAAATTGTTTAATTGACAATGGAAGAAAAATACAATTATTTTTCTTGAAATATGTTTTTTTTTCGGTGTGATGATGATGATGATACAGCCGTTAATTGTTCACTGCTGAACACAGGCCTTATCCTTGAAAGGCTTTACCAGTAGTTGCCACCCTTGGTAGGTGGGTTTGCAACCCCAGTTAGGCTTTGGTGATGTTTTAAAGGGGACGCTGCTGCTCATCCCTGGCTCTCCCTTAGTCGCTTCTTACGACACCAATGGGAATGGAAGGAGTGGACCATTTTATTCTCCGACCACGCGACCAATTTTTCGATATATCACTACATAATATGAGACGACATGTTATTTTGGATATAGTTATACATTATTAAAATTTTTTGTTAAGTAAATAATACTAGATACAAAAATATGATCTAAAATGGTGTTACCGATCTAATAATAATATTAAATACGCGAAATAATATTAAATACGCTAATAATCTCTAGGTTTGTTGTTGTAGTTGTATCTATGTATACATATTTATTGTTTTCAAGTTACTGTGTAGTTATGTACTCGTTTTTTTTTTTCTAGAAAAAAAAGAACGAATCTGTTTAGAAAAAAACTGCGGCAGGTAGCAATTTTTTGCCATTATTTTTCAAGGATTGAAAAAATTAAAATATATCGTTTTTTTAATAACACTGACCGTGAAGCAGCAGAACACGGATTGTTAGTTTTGCAGAATAAGATTGCCTATAATACCTCCTTACTAAATTAAGGAAAGAAAATGTTACCAACATTATGAGATTGAATACTACACAGTTGTCGGTACTGGGGTAGGTAGCAACTTTCTTTTTAATTTAGGGAAAGGAATTGTTAGAAATGAGGTCTAAGGTTTACATTGCTAGCAATATACCCTGTCTGGTTGACCTTAATTAATAATTAGTTAATTAAATTGTTGGCCAATTCGTCGCTTATAAAATGAGGCTGACATTCGCTTCTTTTCTATTCACAGAAGTACTAATAAAACGGAAATTATAGATATACCTACATCATCATAATAATATCACCCGTTATCTGTCCTCTGCTGAACACAGGCCACCATCATAGATTGCCATAAGGAACGGTCCTAAGCCACCTGCATCCACTGATTGCCTACAATGTTTTTTTTTAATGGATGATAATGAAATGGTCACCCGGCCTGCGCTAACGGTATACGCTGGCGGGGTACCAGTGAGAAATGACTGGTAAGGATGAAAAGGCAGGTCAGTTAGCCCACCATGACGAATTACACTACAATTAACCACGATAGTTTCCTGGAGGAACCACGTGGAGGTCGCCCTGATAGGATGTATTGCTAGCAATGGGGCAGTTAGACTCCATTACTAACAATCACTTTCCCCCTTACAGTGTATTTGAGGTCGTTACTCCATCTAGTGGGGGCTTGTACTTTTTTTGTCTGGTAGAGTCTTGATCAGTGGATCAAGACTCTACCAGACAAAAAACTTTCTTCCCCATCGGTTATCGGTTCTTCGAGCTATATGACCAGCTCATGCCACTTCAGTTTGCTTGTCCTTATGGCTATGTCGGTCACTGCTTCTTTTGCGGATATCCTCATTTTGGATTTTATCACGCAAAGAAACTTCGAACACAGCCCTCTCCATAACCGTCTGAGTAACTTAAAACTTTTGCATACGAGCAATTGTGTAGGAACATATTTCGGTTCCGTAGGTCATTACTGCCACACATACACTGGTTACAGACCTTTGTCTTCAAACTTTGTATACATTTTTTTTTTTTGTTGGGTGAAAATAGTATGGTAACCCCGCCTGCGCTAACGGGATACGCTGGTGAAGGGTGATAGATGAGAATGAAAACAGGTCAGTTAGCCCATCATGATGTTTTTATCAGGAATTAACCATAATAGTTAACAGGGAGAACCGCGAGGAGATCTACCTGGTTGGGTATATTGCTAGCAATGGGATTCTCAGTCTCCATTACTAACAATCCCTTTCCCCCCACTTCGTATACATTAGTAACTGTTATTTATCTTTACCTCTCCTAATAATGAAGTACTGCGTTCATGATTCACTGTTCATCCCAAAAGTTGACTGGTAGAGAATGCTACTAGCATCAGGTCTGCCTTTTGTACCGTATCTTCTTTTGGTCAATAAAGTTAATTAAATAAATAAATTAGAACGTATGTAGATATATACTGTTATAGTGCTTACATTACTTTTAGTGCGTATTCTCTTTTAACTTTTCTCTTCTTCATTTCTCTTTTTATACTAAATAAAGAAGAAAGCAAACGAAAGAAAAAAAAAGTGGAAAACTTATTTTAAGGACGTTTTAATTTCGTTTTTATTTTTTTTTTGTGTATACATGTCTATGTGTATGGAATGCGTTATCTTCGCCAATATCGCCACCAATTTGATTCTTTTTAATTCAATGGGGTTTAATATATTTTAAAATATAATATAGGTAGTTATCAATTTACACTACAGATCTGAAAATGGACATATGATAAGGCTGAAAATTCCCCTTATTCATAAAAATTAAAAAACAAAACTATTTTAGTTATCGAAGTGTTTTGTCAAATTTAAAAAAAAAGAATTTAGCGCAAAGGAAATGTACATAACAGTTTAATAGCTAAAATAGGTTTGCACGTTTGTTTTTATGAATAAGGACAATTGTTTATACCATATATAAACAGGTAGGTAGGTATTAAAAGTACTAAAAATTATAGAGAAATTTGGGAAAATGTTGCTCATAATATAGGTACCTCATTAGACATTTAGGTTTATATGTATAGTGTACTTTTGATGTTCGTACTTATATGCAATCGAACCAAAATAATAGGAAAACTATTCAATTCAAAATATTTTGAATGAACATTTATTTGTATTTTTCTAGTAAAAAAATTTAATGAAATTATCAAATACATATATAATAAAATAAGAAAAAAAAAAACTGCAATAATTTACCTGTGGATCCAAGATCTGTAGACTCTGACGATGCCTCGTCACTGTGCACCGCAGAAAGCTGGTACAAAACAAGTACCAAACACACGCTAAAATTAACAACCGCCATGGTTGTGCCAATTATAACTATTGTAATTAATAAACACACGATCCAGTCACCATTACGACAATTCTAAACCACTCTACGAGCTCCCATCATCAGTCATCACAAAAATAATCCAACTAAAAATACCACTTTCAATAAGAAAATCCCAGTTATAATCCAATATATTCGTTAAAAATCACTGTTACACTTTCTCGTGACACGTTAGTTATTTGTTAATAGTTTTGCACGTAAAATATTGTAAAGAAAGGAAAACACGCGCTCACAGTTGTAAATAGCGGAACATCAATACGTCCTCTCTCATAGCCGCCAAAGCTCGACTGAATATTATGTGAGGCAGGTACTTAGTGGTATGGTGGCAGTGGTAGCTGAGCAAAACGAGAGCGATTGAATGAAAGAAAGAAACGATTGTATCAATAGAGCGAGCGAGCAAATCGAACGGCGTTGACTAGTGTTGTTTACATATTTGTTGCTATAAATATGTCGATTTATCAGTACCTATATAAAGTATTCCCACTAATAATAAAAATCGATGAACAATCCGAATTTCTAGTTATTATATAGTAGGTCTATTTTTATTGTATATTATAATCAAGAAAATGATAAAAATTTTAAAAGAAGATTCTGTGCCTATTTCGGTAAATATATACTCACTATTAAACAATCTCTCGATACACAATATTAAACATACTTAACTAAGAATTTGTTTTGAAATAAAAAAAAGAACATTAAATATGGTCTATTTGTTTGGGAGCAATAATTACACAAACAGATATAGATACAGACAAATACTTTTGCCTGTACCCTTTGCTCACTGTTTTCTTTTTCCTGCTTTATATTTCTAGTAACTTGTTTTATTTTACTGAACTAGGTGTTATCTTGTAGATTTCCACATTACTGGTTATTTGATTATAATTATTTGGTTTAATTCAGTTATTATTAATATTTGTAACCTTCCATATTAGCCGATTAGCAATCTCCGACTGTTATTTTGTTAACGCACATATTTACCTTTAAACGAGATATCTTGAGGCAAATCATTAGATCACTATTAAAAACCTAGTATTAATCGTTCGGCACCCAAACTGCAAAAAGTATATTTATAAATATATTTTTATTCACTGGTCTTATCGCACCAAATGTGATCTCCATTTGTCTATTATTCGTTTAGACTAATGAATGTGACGAGTCTAAGACCTTATGGAATCTACTGTACCCTTAATAGAGTTTTTGTGACCGTTAGCTCATGATAAAGTCTCATATGTGCACCCACACCTAATTTGCACCCACACCTATACCCATCTTCATTGTTTATATAATAAATAGCTACTTTGTTGTGATAGCAGTTAACTATGGTCTTTAAGATTATTTTTATTATATAATTAACCATTATTATACTTTATTATTTAAAACAGTTTCTAATTATTATAATTATAGTTACGTAATTTAATAATTTAGAATACTGTGGCCACATTGGATAATATCCCTTGTTAAGGTTGGCGTGTTAATTAATGCCATACCATTTTAGCTAGCTACTAGAATGAGAGGAGAATACTGTAGAAAAACAACTATCGTGTATTATACTGTAGCAGTAAATATTACTAACATTAATTGCTAACAATATAGAAATAGCGTTTAAGAGTCCCATTGTTAGCAATATGCCCTATCATCGCGATCTCCATGCGGTGTGCTTTGGAAACCAATGTTGTTTATTATTGATGAATTCATTACGTGCAATGGGTCACTGTATTTATGTATTTATATTGTACGTAATATGTATAATACTATATCATCCCATACGTGAAATTGTTGGTAGGTTGGTAGAACTTGAAATTCACCCATATATAGGTGAGAACACTTTTTCTCAATTTATCTCAGAGCACTATTTATATTCCATCATGACAATCCTGTTTTGGATAATAATAATTTTATGATTATTTATTTATTTAAAGGAACATCAACAGCATATTGCATTACAAACATACATATATATATAATAAACAAGAAACTTTTTAATCAGTATTATCGATAGTACTAGGAACAAAGAAGTAGCAACACTAGTATCTTTGACAAGTGCAAGCACGCACTAGCGGCGCATAGATTACAATGCGGTGTTAAATAATATTGGACCTTATTTGTTTTACATTTAGAAGTGTTTAGATAGAGTTTATGCAATACGATAGGGTTTACAATTAAATGCACCCGGTCGGCGCCAGTTTTTGCACGGCACCGAGCGACGGCGCTTGCAAGCGACCACGCGGCAGGCATTCTTTTGAATTTCCTTTACCTCGTATCTTTTTTTTTGTCGTAGGGATCCACTTATACCACAACTTTCTACAATAAATTTTGATAGATTTATGAGTTAATATACAAAAATAATCTTCTCGGATTGACTCTTAGGTCGTTGAGCCACAAATATATTTATTTATTTATTTATTTTATCTATATTTATTTATTTTTATTAAATTAGCCAAATGCCAGACAATTTATCATATTGAAGACTAGGCAGCATGGTCCGACCTTAGCCTGTTCTACAACGGAACAAACGTACTAAAAAAAATTTGCCAACAGTATTTAGCACTATTTTTATTCTAACCTGTGATTAGTTAGTGCAGGTAAAACAGAAACTTTGTCAATGGAATGCTTGATTATTTGTTTTTTTTTTTAACCTGTATATATATGAATTCATACCTATATTTAGGGTAGTCGATTGCATTACCTATAAAACGAAAATCTAGAACTTGAACTATTGGTAAAATCTTCGCAATGGTAAACTGCCATAAGGAACGGGAGTGTCTGTAGAGGAGGACTACGTTAAGCAGTAGACAGATATCGACTGAAATGATAATAATTATGATTCTATTAATGTAGGTGTATTGTTTGTTATCTATTGGTATTTTTTTTGGATGGGTGAAAATGGTATGGTTATCCCGCCTGCGCTATCGGTATACATTAGCGGGGTACCAGCGAGCAGTGATAGGTGAGGATGAAAAGGCAGATTAGTTAGCCCATTGTGACAAATTCAATGATAAATTAGTCACGATAATTTCCAGGGGGAACCGCGTGGAGGTCGACCTGATAGGGTATATTGATAGCAAAGGGGACTAAACTCCCCATTACTAACAATTCTTTCCCCCCTATCTATTGGTATTATCTTTTTGGTACAGAGAAGGATACTTTTATTCTGGTTAGTCAATATATTGCGGTCACGTAGATGAAATGGCGGGCATAGATTAAGTAATTTACTATAAAAAAAATACTTCATATTTTCCAATTAAATAGAAATTTATTGAAATAGTACATATTTCTAAAAAGTACCTAATCCCCCCAATAAAAGAGATAATAATATATTATTGTATAAGTTTATAACTTCATACTATAGACAAAAGGGTCTCTGCATCTTAAGTATCTGTAATAAAAAAAAAAACGAAAGATCGGAATCCGTGGCAGCGCTTTGTTTGAGAGTGGAATGCGGCGAAAGAGCTTGTTGAGAGGTTCATCATGTCGACTGTCGACTTTTATGGAAATAAGCATATTTTGTTTTTAAACAACGCAGTTGAAACACTAAATAATTTTGGTAGTAACTAACCCACTTATGTTTTATAAACTTGACATTACATAAATGTTAAAATAATCTCTTATTATAGATTTTTTTAATACACTAGAGAAAAATTAAGGGATAAAAAAATCCCAATTTTTTGAGGTTTTTCAAGTAGACTTTAAAAAAAAGGATTTTAAAGCTCAAAGTCTCTAGTTTTGAGATCTTATGAAAAAAAAATTAAGCAATGTGTTCTGCTCAATCCTAATGAAGTCGAGGTAAAATTGATAGGGTTTATTGCTAGCAACAATCAACTAACAATCCCTTTTCCCCTCCCTTATTAGAGATTAGGTAAAGTATTTTTTACAAATTACGTGATTAACATGAATGCGCACAACACTTTTGAATGTGTAAGGACCAAATGTTGAAGTGGACTATATAATGAGTGGTAGGCAGGTGGGCTGGATGGTACGGCTCAAACTCCTCAATAACGCACTTGTTTTTTTTTTTATTATAGGTTGAACGTAATACGTATGGGGGGTATCACGGGCGAAACAGTATACTCTGTTATGTCCATGATACTGCTCCTGTCTATAGGCGACGGTTACCTCTTTCAATCAGGTGGGCCGTCAGCTTGTTTGCCATTCTAAGTTGTATAAAAAAAATAAGTAATGCAATAAATAAATACAATGAAAATGGCGGGAATAATTTATGCCGGTGTTACCAATGTTGCCAACTTAATAATAAAAAAATTGTTGTTACTTATTTTTGAAAGTTCTATCTACCCGTTTCTACCGTGAAGCAGTTGTATTTGCATGGCTATATTTCGGTTGAGAATGAATATGAAGAGTGGGATATGGCAATGTATTTACAGGGTATAGAGGAATAACACCTTAGTCCTCAGGAATGGCAACGCATGCAAAGTATCATGGGCGAAACAGTATACTCTGTCATGTCTATGGTACGGTCATGTCTGTCCCACTTTCCATCAGGTGGGCTGTCAGTTTGTTTGCAATTCTAAGTTGCATAAAAAAACTCGTGCGAAGCTGGATGAGATCGTTAGTTGTATTATATACTTATTAGATAATCTTTACTAATATAATAATAATATAATTTTATTTACAATGATTTTGGGTATAAAACATTTGATCTTATAAATTAAAAGTATGTTACAAAATCTAATTAGATCAAGCATGCAAATATTGAAAACAAAAATTACAATATTTTTATTTTAAAATTTTTTGTAGCATTTAATCATTACGAAATTATATATTAATAAAATAACATTAATTAAAATATTAAGGAATGTAATACAATATTTTTTTTTTTATACGACTTAGAATGGCAAACAAGCTGACGGCCCACCTGATGGAAAGTGGTAACCGTCGCCTATAGACATGAGCAGTACCATGGACATAACAGATACACACAAATACTGTTTCGCCCATGATACTCCCCATGCGTTGCCATTCCTGAGAATTCAGGTGTTATTCCTCTTACCCTGTTAATTCACGCCATATCCCATCCTTCAAACCGAAACACAGCCATGCAAACACAACTGCTTCACGGTAGAAACACGAATTTAATATCAGATGGTCAACAATAAAAATAAGATGTACGTGTACTAATAAAAATAAAGAAGTCAATAAGTAGGATATGTCACAAATATAACGATAATACATACAAATCTCCACCCTTTCAATCCGACATAAAATTCCTAACAGAGTAAAAACATGATTCAACTAGCCACTCATGCAATTTTTTTTTAAATGTCACTCCAGAGAGAGTTCTTATATTATCTGGAAGATTATTAAAAATTCTCACCGCCATATTGTATG